ACTGCATCGCGCAGTCACATTAAGGCATATCAAAGATGCAACCAACCACCCTCCAAAGTGAGTATTATAAGGAAATTTTCAAGGTAGAAATTTTTTCAAGGTAGAAACATCAACTCGGAAAAAAAATTCGAGTTCCAGTCAAAGACCCACATTTTACCCTTGCTCACCATAGAGTCTCCAGTAATTCAGTGGTTAGAGCATCCGACTAGATCACGGAGGGTCGTGGGTTCAAATCCCATCGAGATCATTTGTTATAACCTGAACATAGGGATGCTTGAGAGATAAATACACGCATTCATTCGTTTATTTCACGTCCCCTTGAGGCTTTCCAGTGAAATATATAACCATTAAGATAAAAGGTTATGGAGAAAAACAAAAACAAGATATCTTATACTAACAACATTCCTCTGAAACTTTGACGAATCAGTATTTTTCCTAAGCTTACGAAAAGATTTGACTTCCCTGAATTCAGTGTGTAAAAGAGATAGAATTCCACGGTTTTGTTTACATGAAAAATATGTCTACGGAAAAACCAGGATACCTGCAAAAATGAACGTCTACACGTATTCATAAGGGCTATCCTCTCAAAGAAAAATTAAAAATAAATAAAAAAAAAGTTATCCTTCAAAGCCTAGTTATTTTTCTTCATCATATCAAAACTTCTTTTCTGTTCTAATTTTGAGTAGCTGGGCGAGGGAAGCTCGATGACTGATAACTCATAAACTGACTGAACAATAAGGGGAATATATTTATTGAATGAACGAAAATGTACAAAATGTGTAAATTTATTTGGCGCTATGTTAATTAGACCGTTATGGTGCCAAAGTGATGACAAACTACCAGCTTCTTCCAGTTACCTGTTTGACAATTTAAATCCTGCCCTTCCGGTAAAACGGTACCACTTCCCCGCGCGTAGATCATCCGCGTCGCTTTTCCCAAGATCTTGGGTGAATCGCCTTTCTCTGTCAGCCTCATTCAGCTCTTTGTATGACGAACATGGGTTTCTTGCTATTAAAATTGACATTATAACTTGTTCAGACGACAGAAGTTGTACTATAATAATTTCTTTGCAGCAGTAAGCGGTGAATGTGTCGCGGTACCCTCATGTTGCTAGGTAACGCGACAAATGTAACATGCTGACATATCTTCCTCTTATGTATACGTCAATACAATCCTCTGACCGCTAGCACAATTTAGCCTTTTTTGTTAACTTTAACTTAAGGTTTTACTAACTAATTTTAACAATTCGATGTAGTCATTGGACTGGGTTGTGATAAATTTAGGCTGTATTTAGCAATTAAATTGATGTGTTTACCTCCTTTGGCGGCATGGACATATGACAGCAAAACCACAAACAAAAGAAGCTTCATCTTGAGTTGGAACTAGTTCTGCGCAAATTAAAAAACAATGAATGAAATGAAATAACTTATTACAAACATGGATCATTGGATAACGCAATTCGAGAGTTTTCATTGGCTTAGCCATCATGGTATATAAGCCATTATACCATGCTCTACAAATATGGTAAGCGTACGGGTTATTTTTGGGGCGTTTTTATTTTTATTCTAGACTAGTTATCAATATATATATTTTTTGGGGGGGGAGGGGGGGAGCGCGTTTTTATTAAAACAATTATTCCACTTGCGCTTGTTGAATATGGGATGATATAGACAACTCGGCGTTACAATCCTCGTTGGTTATCTACCATCTCGTGCAATAATTGCTTAATCTATTAGGCAGAAAGATGAAAGTAACTATTGTGAAGACTGTGGGGTCTGAGAGCTACGTCCCATATTTCGTTGAACTTGTAATATATTGCAGTTAGGTATTAGTGGATTACGCGTTTGCTTAGAATAGAATAACTCGAACGCTCGCTCATACTAATGCAATGCATGCCAATACCTCTCAAAAACGTTTAGGAAATTAAAAAATCCTTTATTTTTTATACGAATTTGATGTATTTGAACATGGTTGCTCAATGTTATAATTACGGAAACGGAGGATTAATTGTTAAGCAATAAAATTTACAATCATATTAGCTACTGAGTGAAATGTCACTTTGCTCAAAATTACCATTAGTTGTCTTGAGTAGAGACACAGTTCTGCATTTGAATACCACACACTAACAAATAAATGTTGTTTTAAACTCCCGCAAAGTACATGTGAATGTGGCATGTTCCGCATGCAGAACATATTGTACAGTTTTCTATGTTCAAATTTGTAAAAAAAAAAAAAAACTAAATGTCAGTTGTAAACGTTTTTCAATAAAATCAAGCTTCTTTCAAAGCTTCTGTCCTAGTGTTGCCATAAGCAAAACTTCTTAGTCAAACTTCTTTAAAAGAAACGGTACTGAACGAAAACGCCACTCTTGAAATAATAATTGTTGAAACAGATTTTCTGAATTTCCCCTCTTTACATTGCTACATTCATTTACTTTTTATCCCTCCACAAGTTACAAAGTGTGAAGCGAACGCAACTGATAATAACCACTTATAATCACTAATGATCACTTGAGATCAGTTTTCTTCCTTGATTTCCCATTCTGTTCTTCGCTGGGGAACATCAAATTGCTGTTATATACTTTCTTACGTGTAAATCAGGTGATAGAACGATTGAGACAAAGCTATGTTTTAAGCATTGGCGATGCACCCAGTTTCACGTTTTCCAAATATCCTCGGCTAAGAACGAAACTGTTCGAATAGGCTATTGCTTATTTGCCTTGCCCTCGATTTTAAACAATTATAGTTTTTTCGGCATAAATTTTATATTATCATCCTTTCGTATTCAGCTTTCGTAATCGAAATAGCTTACTCGGCCAGACTGAGGAACTGTTTAAAGGAATAAAATTATGTTGTAATAAGTATTTTATATGGCTATAGCAAATATCTGACGCGATCGGGGAACTTTATATTTGGTGTCGACTAGCAATTGTTTAAGGGCGATGCTTTTACAAAATGGCTCTACATGTAGAAATTAACACTTATAGGAACAATAATTATGGAGAAAAAATGACGAGTTAGAGATCTTACCTTGGAAAAGTTTTGCTTTTTGTCTATCCTCTTGAACGAGTACCGTGAATAATTATAAAAAAACCGAAACATTTAGGTAAAAAACCTAAAGGTTGCTCTATTGCTATATTACACTTCTATTGAAGCCTATGTCAACATTTAGACACAGAGCAATTAAAACAAACCATTTTCATTAAGCATGTTTGTAAAACTATACATTTATTGAAGTCTCCGGTATCTTGCTGTGTGGACGTTTGAGTGTCATTTCATTTTTCTCACCTCCCAGTAAGAAGATAATTAGAAAAGTATCACCATCCTTTATCAATTTATCTCAATTCTGGATAAGGGAGCACATTTTTCCACATTTTTCGCAAGGGTGTAGAGCGATATTTCCTCCTTGCAGTATAAGCTATATTAAGCCCTTACCAAAATTTAGCTCTATTTAACCCTATAAAAATTAACGAGGCCTGTCAAACCGCACATTACTTAGAAAATACGAAGGTTAAGCTCGCCGATTGTTATTCATAGCTGTTTTTGTTTTCTTTTTTTTTCCAGTCCAGTGCTTGTAAAGCGTAAAGTATCACATCGCTTGCACAACACACCTTTCATCGACGGATTCTTTTAATATTTTTTATTATTTCCTCTTAATTCTAGCGTGGTTTTTGTGAAGCATAACGTGCCCACTCACCTGACCATTTACTTTTAAGTCTTAGCAACCGCGGTCAAGTCAATAAGTTTTCACAAAGGCGAATATAGATGTATAAATAAAACTCATGACAAAAGCCCCCACTAGTCCTTAAAAAACCCACTCTTTCTGCGCATGGTCAGTTGCCCAGCATAGGCACATCTTCAATCCTCAGTCTCTTCCCAGGTCATGTGGGGAGTGATTGGGTTTTGTTTTTTTCTGACCACGGTCGTGATATATTTTCCTGCTATTCTCGCTCTAGGAGTGTTGAGAAGGCAACAGTTTTGCCCATATGCATGCGTTCTTGTTTTAAGAATCATATATTGCTCTCTGGCAGTTATTGAGTTAATGAAGGCAAACAAACCCGATTTAATTAAGGACTTGTAACTCCGTTCAGTTTCATTCAAAAAATGTAAAATGAAACAGTGAATTGTGTCAAAGTGAAGGTAAAGAGAGAACTTCCGTGGCAAGTCGACTCTACCACTCACAGGCAACTCAAAATTTAACGTAGGAGGGCAAGAGGTGGGAATATCTACCACAGCTCAAAATATTAAGCATATTTTTCTTATTACAATGGCGCTTCATTTGTCCATTTTGTTTGAGAGTAACGTTCCCTGTACTGTTTTTACAATGAATTGTGCCCTTACAAGGGCTATAATGAGACTAATTTTATTTACTAGCCTAAAAACCGAGGGAAAAAAAAACCGTAAAATAGAGCTTTCTTACCTTTACGGCAGTGCCTTCCTGAGTGCCTTGGTCGATGTAACTGCGATTTTGTTGATTTTTCACGTCGCGTTATATTATTACAAATGTCTCTTCACTTATTAACTGTCAATACGCCATGTCACATTGCCACCTTAAATTATTTACAGACACTCTGGCGTTACCGAGCGTTACAGTTAGCATGGCATCTGGCACGCGAGAAACTACAATAGTTGAGGACTTAAGTTTGTGTTGTCAGAGGCTAGTGTCAAATCGGTATGAAAAACGTTGTGGGTTCGACTTTCGTTAGCCGGCTTAGAAATTTGCTTTTTCGCGAAAATTCGACTTGCGTCCGCTTTTTTCATTTACGCTTTCAGGCAAGTCACAATTTCACTCATCCTTATTTACATTTGTCACTTTCAAATTATCGAGCCTTGCAAAAATAAGAATCCTCGCTTCTCGCCACAAGCCCAGCCGGCTGAACTTCCAAGCGGTATCCGGGTTCGGCTGCCGTTAGGTACCGAGTTGTTTTCCTTTTCTGAATAAACGTCATTGTAAACGAACGGGTAAACCATTCAGTTCAGTTTTGAAACAGATTTTTCGCGCTCGGGTAAAGCAGGGAACCAGATTTAAGACTCAGGTTGGCATTACTCCGATAATGGAGAAAGATAATACCTCATGTAACATATTTGTCTCATTGTCATCTGTTAACTAGTCAAATTTATTATGAGAAGTGAGTACAGTATTGTAAAAATAACCCCCAAAATGATTAAGATTAAAATACGGAAGCCCCAAAGGGACATCCACTTATACAAAATTGGAGTTCGTTTTTCGAAAATGGGAGTTTGCTTTTTCGAAAATGGGAGTTTGTTTTTCCGAAAATGGGAGTTTATTTTACAAAAATTGGAGTTTGTTTTACGAAAATGGGAGTTTTTTTTTTTTTTGTGAAAATGGGAGTTTGTTTTTTCGAAAATGGGAGTTTGTTTTACGAAGATGGGAGTTTGTTTTTCGAAAATGGG